TCTCTCTCTCTCTCTCTCTCTCTCTCTCTCTCGTGACATCGTGACCAGCGATACATTCGAGCACATATTTCGTTTCTGCAAAATAATCAACATAATGTGATCAGTGCTTGTCCAAAATTTATATTAAAAGAAAAATGAAACTAGGATTAAAAAAAAATTGAGAGATGGACCTTAAAGGTTATGTTCTTTCTAATTAAGCAAAGCATTGGACTGAGTCAAGAAGCTCGCCGGGGTGCATAAACGATCGGCCATTGATGTCCGCAACCAAAGATTCAATATTCTAAACCTTTGAAAAAAGAAAAAATGAACTCAAGTAGTCAAGTAATTTTAGAGATACCTGTAATGATAATTGAATGAGAATAGTTTTGAATAAGCACTAGTGTATAATCCAAATTAGAACTAATTATTTATATTAATATGCTAGACTGATCTTGATCTGCTATGCTCTTGATCTACTCTGCTTAACTTGGAGAGTAGAGAGAGAGAGAGAGAGAAAGGCTAAATGGTTTTTTAATGGATTTTCATAAAAATTTATTTATTTATTTATTTATTTAATCCACATGTCACGATGTGATTGGACATGTGGGCTCCATTTATCTTCCACATCATATACTTAACAGAATTTTTGACGGCAATGACCATTTGTGATAAAAAGTCCAAACGTTAAGGACTATTAGTGTCACAAAAAAACCTCAATGACCATTCGTGATAATTTCGTAAACACCAAGGACCATTTGTGATAAAAAGCCTAATATAAATATTATTTTCTGTCAATTTGATAAAGCCATGAACATTTTTTTTGATAATCCATCTTTGATATCACCCACTTTTTCTATCAAGAATTGTAATTGATATAGAAATGGAGAGGACCAAAATTTCAATAAACAGAATAGAACTTAATTAAAACGAGAGGAACACACGAGAAAAACGATTCGGTAATTTTTTTATTTATTTATGAAGAAACGAATGGGTATTATTAATTATGAACATTACCGGTATTATTAATGGAAGTCAAGCGGGAGGCAAAAGAGCCATTATAGCTTTTTTCCTACATTTGAATACAGTAACTCGGGAAGGGTAAAAGTTAATAAGGTATGTATTACAGTAAAAGAATTTCCCACAAAGGGTTAGCATGGTTTGCGCTGTCGCTGTATTGTCTTGTACCACTCTCCTAATCATATAAGGATTGGAAACTTTCTTGTGGATTAAGGTTTCATTAATGTAATAAGGAAAGCTAAAGAGTTTCTTGATGGGTAAGATTTCTAGACGGATGCATATAAATACAAGAGCCCCTACTCAACCAAAATCACGCGACCTACACTAAAGTATTCACCCCATCTAGAATTAGAGAGATCATATTGAGAAGAAGAGCTCTTGTATATGTTCTTGGTATTTCCACAACTTCTATGACAAGCGAAAAGGTAAGTCTTCTATTTATATGTAGTCAATATGGTTTACAGTCGCTTCTTATTTCATTGCTTTATCTGCAGTGATTCTTTTCTCAGCTCTCTCTTAATTTAGATTATTAGTTTTTTCTACTGATATTTAATATTTCTTTGTGTTTTTTGCATTTTGCTTATGTATGTATCTAGTTCTGTGTTGATATATTTTGATGTAGGATATGGGTGAATTGAGTATTTGGGTAATTTAGCATAAGCGAAAACAATGGAAAATAGAAAATAGAACAAAAAGGATAGGTTTGGAATCACTCCAGGGGTTTGGCTTCACACCAAGTAGTCTCCAATCTCTAGAAATAAACTTTTCTTATATCTCAACAACTCAACTCCATAATGAATTACGTGAGAGCCTAGAGACAATAGGATAAAAATTCCCTTGCTAAAACATAAATACTAACCAAAATAAAATAGGAAACTTAGAAATCCTATTAAAATTTGGAAAACTTAGAGAACAAGTTAAAAACTAATCCCAAGAATAAAAAAATTGCCAGATGTAAAGACCAAAATAAATGACTTCCTCTTCCATCTCTTTCTTTTGTAAACCCTAATGGGTTTGACAAAGATGTCCTCATCATATTTATAGCTGGACTAATATTTATGTTTTGATTTGTTGTAGATGGATCAAAGAAGATGGGAGGACTTAGACGTGGACTGTTTGTTGATTGTGTTGGGAAGAGTTGGAATGGAGTCGCTGCTTTTGGGTGTCCCTTTTGTGTGCAAGTCATGGTACAAAGCAAGCCTCGATCCTTCATTCTGGCAATGTCTCATTTTACCGGACTTTCATGATGGTTTTATGGTTACTCGGTTTTCTTATTTCGCAAAAAATCAACCTTGGATCGCTACTCCCTTTTATAGAAAATTCATACGTCAGTATCGAATTAGTAAGTACCGTTTCTCCATGACTGGTTTTGTAAAGCTTGTTGTTAGTCGTAGCCGTGGAAATGCTACTTCTCTGAGCCTACCTGAATGTTCAAACAGACTACTGAGATTAGTCGCAAATACGTAAGTTATTTTATTTTATTTTTATTATTGGCATTTCAATGGTTTGTTTTGCTGGATGTGTGTATTTTTATTTTTGTTTTCCCTTTGGCATTTACTTCAATTTATACTATTCAATATTTATGATGAACTGCTGTTTGCAGGTGTCCTAGCCTCAAGGCTTTGTCTTTGCCTAGAAATTTCGTGTTACGGGAATCAAGCATAATTATGGAACTGACTGAAAAGTTGAAACATTTGGAGTCATTGTCTTTGGGAAACAACACAGATATTACTGAAATTCTTTCACAGATCAGCCTTCACTGCAAGAACTTTCGTAGGTTAGACGTCTTTCGTGCTTCATTATGTAAAGATGAGGCATTGTCGATTGTCAAGTTCGTACCTAATATTGAATACTTAAGCTTGAGGAGGGCAATCATTCGTCGGTGTGATCTCATCACATTACTGCAGGGATGTTGTGAGCTTGTGTTTTTGGATGTCAGTGGTACTGGTTTTGATGAGGGTGACCATGAAATATCAATGCTAGCTTCTCATATTTCTAATTTTAGGTGTAAGGGTTCTAGCTAGGCCGTTTGATTTTGATGCTGATGTTGATTACGACACAGATAGCTTTGATTACTTTGATTACGACACAGACGGAGATAGTTTTTACTATGACTCTAATTATTATAGGTTGTTTTCTTGTATTTGCTATGTAAACTTTTTGATACGAAGAACACTCATGGGTCTTGATGAAGCTTTTATTTATGGGAGATTCACTATTATACCCAATATAGAAGTCTAAATTTTTTTTAAAAAAAACCTTATATGAAATGGACTTTAGAAACACACCCAAAGTTCATTTACAACATAACAAAAGGGCTTTTAACTTCTTTTAAATTACAAAACTACCATTGATGTCTTAAAACAAACCCAACCCCAAAACCTTATAAAAAAGCCCAAAACACTCAATAGGGCATCAAAGTAATTTAATAATCAAAATTAAATTCAATATGGTCAGCTATCATTTTTTGGATTTTTTTTATATAAATTAAATGGTGTATGATTTATTTATAATTTTAGTGCTAAGAATTGGTATATGACTAAATATCTCTTTATTTATTTCGTGGCGACCCCTATATATGTATTCAATTGTTTTGTTGTTGGTTTTTTTGGGTCAAGATTGTTTTGTTTTATATAATATTGATATTGTTTCTTCTTAAGTGCTCATTTTGTATGGGCTTTTTAGTTTAATGTTTCTATTCGATGGGTGGCGTTCAGTTCCAACAATGCACTTTTCAGACCGAGAAAGCTAAACGTTGCATATTAGGGTCCTCTCTCTTGGGAAATGAGGGAAGCACAAAGGTTTTATTAGTCTTTCTTGTTGTTAATTATCTGGGAATTCCATTTGTATTATACTCATATTGCCTTTCTCTCATCTCTTGGATGTAGTGCATGCGTGGTGGTTGAGTCCTTTCATTTCCTATGCGTGGGAGAGAGAATGAAAATAGTGAACAACTTTTTATTAGTGCTTTTCCCCATATTGATTAACTTTTTAAATGCAATACTCACTCAATATAAAATTCAATCACAGCCATTGAAAGTGGCTCAATCTAATGGCTAGAATGTGTCTTAATTAATATGTGTCAAAAATTGTGCTATCCTGACCGTATAAATGTGGTATATGGAGTCAAACTATTTCTCTGCATTTCATTACTTATTGTAAATGGAGAATCGTCTTGTAAAATGGGAGGAGTTAGACATGGACTGTTTGGCAACTGTTTTTGCAAAGGTCGGTATGGAGTCACTGCTCCTGAATATCCCTTTTGTGTGCAAGTCATGGTACAAAGCGAGTCTCAGTCCTTGCTGCTGGCTAAGTCTCGACTTCACGGAAATTTTAACCGAGTACTACTATGATTGGATGAAAAGATTTGTAGATGAATATACAATTGATGAGATGTTTTTCACTGTCACCGGATTTATGAAGCTCGTCATCCATCGTAGTAAAGGGCAGGCTACTTTTCTCAAGCTACCTGGATGCTGTACCCTCGAAGCATTCAAATATGTTGCAGATGTGTAAGCTTTCTCAAAAAGTTTTACAATGTGTTTCAATATTAGTGCATATTTTTGGATCTGCGTTTATTTTTATATTGTTGGCAGGTGTCCTGGCCTCAAGGCTTTGTCTTTGCCTAGTGAACTAGTGTTTCTGGAACCCAGCATGATAATAGAACTGATTCAAAAGTGGGAAAATTTGGAGTCATTGTCATTGAAAGGTCGCATAAATATTGCTGAACTCCTTTCACCGATCAGCCTTATTTCCATGTTTTAGGGAGACACAAATCCTGGAAATGCTCCATGATTTTGTATACTTGTTTGTAACTAATAGTTACCCTTTCTACATTGTGTATAAATATCTCCATGATAGCAATACAAAGATATAAGGAAGAATTCTCTGCAAAACATCTATTATTCCTCACTCTTTACTCTCTCAATTACACTATATTTGACAGTTGGCAGGTGTCCTGGCCTCAAGGCTTTGTCTTTGCCTAGTGAACTAGTGTTTCTGGAACCCAGCATGATAATAGAACTGATTCAAAAGTGGGAAAATTTGGAGTCATTGTCATTGAAAGGTCGCATAAATATTGCTGAACTCCTTTCACCGATCAGCCTTCACTGCAACAACTTTCGTCGTTTAGATATACGTGGTGCTTCAGTAGGTGAAGATGCGGCGTTGTCGATCGTCAAATTGGTGCCTAATATTGAGCACTTAAGCTTGAGAAGGGCAAGTATTCCTCGGAGCAGTCTTATAACAATCTTACGGGGCTGTAAGAAGCTTGTATGTTTGGATGTTAGTGGTTGTATTGGTTTTGATGAGGAAGATGAGGAAATATCAAAGCTTGCTTCTCATATTTCTAATTTCAGCTGTCAGGGTTCTAGACCTAGACTCTACTATGATTCTGATTCTGATTCCAATGATTATTATGATTCTGACGATGATTATGACCATGATGAGTATGATGGCTCTGATGGGTACTACTATGGTGGAGGCAATTCTGATTGATCGTGGTGCAGAATTGTTCATTTAGAAGTTGTTTTGTTCTATTTGCTCTGAAAGTTGGTACTAGGGGCATTCGTTTCAACTTTTAATACAAAGAACACTGCTTGCTCCTGTATCAAACTTATTTATATATATATATTCGATCATTGTGCTGTATTTTGGGGTCCTATTGGGTGTTTTCATTGTAAGAAAAATTGTGAGAAACATTATGCTATGGTAACTTCTCGTGGCATGCGCATAAATTTTCGAATAATAATGTGAAATTTACCATAATCTGTGAACTCAATAACACATTATAAAGCCAACAATATACAACAGTCATAGAAAACTGACATTTATCCATAGAAGCAATGCAAAACCCTCTTGCCGAATCTAGTGGGCCATACCCGCATGTTTGGAAAGCTTGGGCAATAGCCGAGATTAGCCCATACCAAACAAATTTCAAATTGGGTTTTGGCCCATGAATCCTCTACAGTTAAGTACCGCTCCATTCTCTTCATTCTTCTGCGGTCAGTTTTTCTTTCTTGTAAATTTTGTTTGGTTCAGCCACTCTCTCGGAGCAAGTAGGACCCAAGTAAGTTTCATCTCTCGTTACTTATTGCTGCTCATTATCGTCGTTTAAATATGCTTTCTGTTTAGCATTCGTTCCTGTTCTGTTTCATTGAACAGTTCTGATTTTTTGCACCTTAATTTTGTTTTTTGTTTTTTGTTTTTAAAAAAAGGATGTCTGTAGTTGGTTGTTTTCAGATAAAATGTTTTTTCCCATATGAAATTCCTTTTTGATTGATGAATCAGGACTTTAGATAGAGAAAAAAGTAGTTAAATTTTAAAAATGGGGTGAAATTTTGTTGACGGTGGGTTGGAAGTTCAATCTGCCCCAATCTTCAGGAAAGAAAAGAAGAAAAATTTGTTTTTGAATTGGCTCACTCAATTAAGTCTGCTGCCGATCCCAAATATTATTGGACCAGTTATTTTGAATTGGGTATTGATAGTTTCCCTACTTGATAGTTTACTCACTTTGACCAATGAAATTTATAGATTATCACCAGAAACATTTGCTGGATCAATCTTCCTTTTGGGAGGCAAAGGTTAGTTTTACCTTTGGTCCTATATATGTTAACTACAAAATACAAGTTATTGTACACTAATTGCACTTTTTCATTTCTAACAAACCCAAGTTTTTGTTATCCTGCTTGTTTTTGCGTTTCTTTTTGTTTTTGGTAAATATGGCTTGCCTTCCTGCTTCTATTTTTTGTAGGAATTCCCGTTCCTTTCGCTTTTCGTTGTCTTTCTCTATTTATCTTACGTTTAAGGTGAGCTGATTCTCTTTCCATCTTCGGTTCATTAGTTTTCTTTCTCCCTACCCGACTGTTTTTCATGCATATTAGCAATAACTTGGGTGTTTTAATTTCCCATTTGATTCTGTATATTAATGATTTGATATCATGTCCTTTCTTGTAGATGGAGACTGAACGAAGATGGGAGGACTTAAATGTGGACTGTTTGGTGAATGTTTTTGGAAGAGTAGGGATGCAGTCACTACTCTTGGATGTTCCCTTTGTGTGCAAGTCATGGTACACAGCATCCCTGAGTCCTTCATGCTGGGAATGTCTCATTTTTCCTGGTGGCTTTGATGGCTTTGACCTTCCAACTCACGATCTTTGGAGTTCTGAGGGTGAACTTGGAACCTTTATGGATAGGTTTCGATGTATATATCGAATTGATGAGGATCGTTTCTCTGTCACTGCATTTCTAAAGGTGGTTGTCAATTGTAGCAGAGGGCAAGCTACTGTTGTCAGGCTACCTGGATTTTGTTCCTTGGAAGCAATGAAATATGTTGCAGATGTGTAAGCTTTTTCTAAAGTATTTGAATGTGTATCATTAGTGCATTTTTTTGGGTTTTAGCTTTATGTATTTTGACTTTTAAGAGTTTCTTCTGATGTAAGTATTTAATCATGTTCTTTATCTCTTTAATATTTTTTCAGTCACCCTAAAATGACAGGGTTAAACTTTTGTTTGCAGGTGTCCTCGCCTGAAGACTCTGTACGTTGACAAAATGATTGCTGAACTAATTGGAAAGTGGAAACATTTGGAGGAGTTGTTCTTGGGGAGCAGCGTTGGTATCGAGAAAACCCTGTCAGAGATCGGCATTCACTGCAAGAATTTTTGGCGTTTACATGTGGGTAATGCCTATATATGTAATGCTGAGGCATTGGCAATTGTCAAGTTGGTGCCTAATATTAAGCACTTGAGCTTGAGGCAGGCAGACATTGAACGGGATAATCTTGTCACAATACTACAGGGCTGCAAGGAGCTTGTGGCTTTAGATGTCAGTGATTGTAGAGGTTTTGACGAGGGCGATGATGAAATATATAAGCTCGCTTCTCATATTACTAATTTCAGGTGTGAGGGTTCCTCTTCTAATTATTCTTCTGATTCTGATGATTACCTTGATCGAAATCCTGTCTATTTTTTTGGATATGAATCTGATTAAAACAGAGTAGTAGTATGCTCTCGCACTGTCTCATTTTTTGCGTCCATTGAAGCTGATCCTTGTAATTTTACTTTGAAATCTAGATTTTCGAATTTTGACTCTGATTAATAATAACCTCTACTTTAATTTCCCTCCATCCATGTGTGAATTTAATCACATTGGAAAATTACTCCTAATTTGAAGTGTAGTTTAATTTCCCTCCATCCATGTGTTTGCACTTTCTTTGTTAGGATTTTTATTACAAATGGTTTATGAGATTTGTCAAATTACCACCTTTAGTCCTTTATGTTTGTTTTATGACATTATTGGTCTTTTATGTTACACCTCACACATCAAAATTGTCTTACAGTTAGTTTCAGTAAAAAATTCTGCTAAATTCCTGATGTGGAATTTAAGTAGAACCCACATATCCAATAAACAGTTTAAAATTCATAAAAAATTAGAAATGAAAAAGAAAAATAATTAAAAGACAAAATCTGCAACCGTCCGCCTCTCTCTCTCTCTCTCTCTCTCTCTGCCTTATGCTTGGGTACAGAGAACCCACCGCTATTGTTAGCATCCGATTGGGTCATAATGGCGGCTGATTATGTCTTTGGTACAGAGATCCATCTGCACCAGAGTGCTCACCAAGCTTTGCCCAAAATTGGCATTGATTATGTCTTTGGTCCTTTCACCAAAACAAAGCAACCAAGAGCTCCAAATAATCCATACAACAAAGCAATGAAACCCACACCACACACAAGGCCATTGAAGAAAACAGCCACACCAAGACCATAAAAGAAAACAGAGAAGTCTCCAAAAGCACGTAGAAGCTGGCCTATTTTGCAGAACAATTATTACATCCTCAACCATCACAACCCCCATAGCTCCAAGATCAACAACATCAGCGAAAAGGCTTAAAGGGGCAAAATGGGTCAGCGTGGGAATCGAATTCAATCCCAGCTGAAATAGAAAACAACCCCAAAGGTTCAAAGATTAGGATGAGAACTTGTGAGGTCTGGCTAGAAGTGGAGTGTCTTCTTTGTCAAACGCCTCCCAGCCGCCATTATGACCCAATCGGATGCTAACAATGGCGGTGGGTTCTCTGTACCAAGCATAAGGCTGAGAGCAAAGAGAGAGGGAAAAAAGGGAGGGAGAGAGAGAGAGAGAGAGAGAGAGCAAAGAGAGAGAGGGATGCAGAGAGAGCAGAGGCGGAAGGTTGCAGTCTTTTAATTTTTTTTCTTTTTTATTTCTAATTTTCTAATTTTCTAGGGTAAACTGCCTAAAACCCCTCTGAACTATAACGCTTGTTGAAATGTCCACCCTGAATTATTTTTTTCAGCCAATTTAACCATCAAACTATTTTAAATTGTCAATTTAGCCCTTGCTATTAGTTTCGATGTAATTTCATCCAATTTTCCGTTAAAAATAATTAAATCTTTAAAAACTAAAAAAGCGAAAGGGTAGGTTTCAAAAGACGACTCTTGCCTGAAAAACTGTTGACAATCAAACGAGGTTTCCTCCCCTGACAAAAAAGAATGGAGTCCACCGGATCTGATACTGACTCTCTCACCTTGTCCCCAACATTGTTCGATTCCTGTCTCCCTCTTGTTGCTTAGACAACTTAAACAAACAAAAAATAAAATAAAAAACCCTAGCAATCAACGTCTTCCCCACCCCAGACCCTCTCTCTGCAATCCCGCATCCACAAGCTTTTTCCAGTGAAAGAGCAGGAGCGGAGGTAGAGAAGAAGGAGGACTTGAAGATATACCCACCTTCACAGACTTGTATATGAGGTCTGCAGTGGGCACAATGGCAAAGCTGGGAAAGAATCTGGCCATGAACGTTAGAATTTAAAAAATTGGCCAACTGGGTTTCACCTTATCAGAAATTTTACACATGGGTGCCACCAAAATCGCACCTTGAAAAGCTTTCGGCTCCGCGAAGTGGATCAGAAGGCAAATGGCGTCGCCCATGGACTCGCCGTAGAGAAAACAAGGGACATTTAGAAATTAGGGTTCTTGCTGCTTGACCAGGTTGAAGAAAGCAAGGCAGTATTGGACCACGAGATGGACGTCGGGGACAAAGGCCTTGAGGCCATGGGATTGACCGTGGCCTTCGAGGTCGAGAGCGAATCAGGCGAAACCCTGTTGGGCGAGGTAAATTGGGGTGGCTTGGAAGGTCCAGTTGATGTCGTTGCCGTAGCTGTGGACCATGAAGATGAGGCCACAGGGAGGGGAGAGGAGGGTAGCCATTGCCGGGTGAAGAGCTTGAGGCCTCTGAGTCATTCTATAGTGAGGCCTTATCGAAAACATTTAGATGAGGTCTTATCTCTTAATTGTTGAATCAAACTAATTAATTTGATCAAACAGTTAATAGATAAGTTAGTTTAATCAAACGGCTAACCAATTTGATCTAACCATTAAAAGATAGGTCATAATCTAAGTGCCTTAGATAATGCCCTCACTATAGAACTCATGAGTGGATACTGATGTAGAATAGATGGTGAAGGCAATTGAAGAGGAGTTGGAGACACGCTCATGCAAAAGCAAACCCAGTAAACTGCAGGTTTAGGCCCCGAACTCAAATTCGAGCCCATAACCCCTCGTTTCTAAGGGAATGATTTCACGAGCAAAACTCATTGCATTGCCATAACGTATGGGATTTATCGGGCATTCGAGATCGTTTAGCAGCCGAAAAGTGTTTTTTATGTTTTATATTTTGGAAACTTTGTTAATTTTCCTATTTTATTTCCTTTTCGATTCCTAAGATTTCTAGGATATTTAAATTAACAATAAACTTGAGGTTCCTTCTTTCTTAGAGTTGTTTGTTTTAAGCTATAGCTTTCCATTATTTTGTCTAAGAATTCTATAGTGAGGGCCTTATCTATGGCCCTTAAGTGAGGCCCTATCTCTTAACCGTTGGGTCAAATTGGTTAGCCTTTGGATCATATTGATTAGTCTAATTCAACAGTTAAGCGATAGTACCTCACCTAAGATTCATAAATAAAATCCTTACTATAAAATGACTCTTAGAGTAACTCCACTCGTTGCCCCCAGACCTGGCAGGATAAGGCCCAAGCCCAGGCGTGAGCTTCCAGCGGGCCAAGCTTGCCCGGGCAAGCCGTGGGTCCCACGAGACAGGGCCAGACTGCAGGCGAAATCAGCATGAGTTGGAGCCTAAAGGCAGCTGGCCTCAGACCTGACATCCACTAATGTTAACACACCACATGGCATGTTCTGGTCTCTCCGATCATTTTTTCCCTCAAATCCAACGGCTGCCCTTCTTTTAGCCTAAAAAGATTTTAAAAAATTACCAAAAAATTCTAGAATTTTTATCTATAAATACTTAGGAACCCAAATCTTATCCGAAAATATTCTCCGAATTAATTGTTTAGGTAAAAACAAAAACAAAAAGTGAATAGTATTTGCCCTTTGCCATGACAATGGGTGGAAACACACCTTACTTTTTGCAAGGGCTACCACTATTCAAGTGAATAGTATCTGCCCTTACCTCCCCTTGCTCTTTACTCTGGCAAATGGGTAGAAGTGCTCTTAGGGCTAGTTTGGCATTGCTGTGTTGTGAAAATAATCACTGTCAGATTTGCTATGAGAGAAATCAACTGTGACAGAAAGCAATTTGGTGTTTGGTAAACTTTTTGTTAAAAATGTTGTTTGTACTGATTCCTGCATAATCATTAAACTCGACGCCTCTTCAAAACTTATTCCTGCATAATCAAAAAATGAAAATACCTCATTAGTTGCTTTCCCTTATAACTTTTTCTCGCATCAATTTTTAACAATAAGTGATTTTCTCATAATTTACCAAACGGATTGGGCTTCCAAAATTTTTGAAAAAATCACTTATCATTCCAAATAAGCAACTGATGCCAAATGGACACTTAGTTTGTCATGCTGCGTCAGATACCCATATGTTCGGCTAGCTTGGGCTATATAGCCCGGGTCGTCCCATAGCAAACAAATTTAAAAGTGGGTTATAGCCCACAACTCCTCTCCACCCATTCTCGTTTAATCTTCCACTTCAACAATCTTCTGCGGTCAACTCTTTCTTCTTTCTTCTAAAACTAAATTTGGTTTAGTTCTCCGACTCTGTTGGAGCAAGCAGGACCCAACCCACGTAAGTTTAATCTCTCGTTACTGATATTATCGTTTAAAAATGCTTTCTTTGTCTGAATCGTTCCGTTTCTGTTGCATTTCACTGTTCTGAGGTCTTTGCACCTTAGTCTTTTCTTCTCAGATGAAATGTTTTTCCCAGTTGCATTTCATATTGATGAAGTAGGAGTTTAGATGGAGAAAACAACAGTTAAATTGAAAGAAATGGAGTAAAATTTTGTTGAATGTAGTTTGGAAATTCAATATGCCCCAATCCTGAGCAAAGGAAAAAAATAAATAAAAAATCTTGCTTTCGCAAGGTGGAAGGCCATAGCATTTACCTTAGTAGTTGGTCCCTATATATAATAACTTAAAAATAATTAAAATTGTGTATACTTTCTTTTGTAATCCTGCTTGTTTTTGCGTTTCGTTTTGCTTTTGTTAAACATGGCTTGTCTTCCTGAATCTATAATATAGGAACTACTTTGCTTTAACTTAGCATTGCCTTTCTCCAGTTATCTTGCATTTAAGGTGATACATTTACCATTTTTGGTTCTATACGCTTGTCCCTGCCCCACCCTTTTTGTTTTCCATATTAGCAATGGTTTCGGTTTTTTTGTTTCTTTTCACTTGGTTCTGTATATTGATAATTTGATATCTTGTAGATGGAGGATCAACGAAGATGGGAGGATTTAAACGTGGACTGTTTGGTGAATGTTTTTGGAAGAGTGGGGATGGAGTCACTACTCTTGGATGTTCTCTTTGTATGCAAGAGTCATGGTACACAGCATCCCTCAATCCTTCATGCTGGCAATGTCTCATTTTTCCTGAACATGAAACTGGCCCTGATGGTTTTGACCTTCCAACTCATGATCTTTGGAGTTCAGAGGATGAAATTCAAACCAATATTTTTGGAACCTTTATGAATAGATTTCGATGTAAATATGAAATTGATGAGCGTCGTTTCTCTATCACTGTATTTATAAAGTTTGTCGTCAATCGTAGCAGAGGGCATGCTACTTTTCTCAGGCTACCTGGCTGCTGTACCTTCGAAGCATTGAAATATGTTGCAGATGTGTAAGCTTTCTCAAAAGTTTTTCAATGTGTTTCATTAGTGCATGTTTTTGGGTTTTAGCTTTTATGTATTTTGACTCTTAAGAGTTTCTTCTGATGTAAGAATTCATTCATCTTCTTTATCCATATATATAATATCAGTTCAGTCACCCTAAAATGGCAGGGTTAAACTATTGTTTGCAGGTGCCCTCGCCTGACGGCTCTGTCTTTGCCCATATATTTAGTGCACCAGAGACCAAGAATAATTCCTCAACTAATTGCAAAATGGAAACATTTGGAGGAGTTGTCCGTGGGGAGCAGTCTTGATCTGAAGAAAACCCTTTCAGAGATCAGCATTCACTGCAAGAAGTTTTGGCGTTTACATGTGGCTAATGCCTATATTGGCAATGCTGAGGCACTGGCAATTGTCAAGTTGGTGCCTGATATTAAGCACTTGAGCTTGAGGCGGGCAGACATCGGACGGGATAATATTGTCATGTTACTACAGGGCTGCAAGGAGCTTGTGGTTTTGAATTTCAGTGATTGTAGAGGTTTTGACGGGGGCGACGATGAAATATATACTCTTGCTTCTCATATTACTAATTTCAGGTGTGAGGGTTCTTTTTCTGATTGTTGTACAGATTGCGATGATTACTATGAGAGAAATGCTGTCTATCTTTGTGCATATGAATCTGATTAAAGCCGTACTAGTATGTAGAATTTTCTAGAGGCCATATATGAACAAGAATTTGATCCTTATGTATTAATCTGCCCCAATTCGAGCAAAGGTGGAAAACAAAAATTGCTATTGAAGTGGCTGAGGTCAGTCTGCTGCCCATAGTTTCCCCACTCTACTTATGCTTGACCAGCGAAATTTATCACAAGAAACATTCGCTAGATCAATCTTTTATTTTCGGGAGGCGGAATGTCATAGCATTTACCTTAAAATTAATTATACTTTCTTTTGTAATCACGCTTATGTTTGCTATTTCTTTTGCTTTTTTTTCTTTTTGAGTACAAGCGATTGCGGATGGGATTTTACACACAAATATTAACTGGGTGTCTCGGGTTTTTGAACATCTACCCACAGGACATAGGTGGAGGTGGTGGAAGAGCTCAACCAACTGAGCTATACCTGACAATAGGTCAACAAATGTTAAATACATCATAAAGGGAAATTATATTCCAATTAGTGGGGCATTCATGGTATTGAGTGCACCGAAGGGGACCCTTGCCAACACTACAATGTGCACCCAAGGAAAATAACAATTATAGTAAAAAGTTAAATATTTTTGGATTGAAAGCGGAACAGAACAAAGCTTCCCATTACTACTTGGATTATTTTGTTTTGGTGTGATTAATATCAAACGTTTGTATTGCAATGGGAATGTTTTTTTTTTTTTTTTTTTTGGGCCTTTTACAAGTCAAAATATGGAGGGCAAACATATAGAATAAGAAAAATGTTTGAGGAGGATTTCAAAAACCTAAAAACAGAAACAGACTCCATGAATCGAAGAAGACGAGTCGGTCTTTCTATGTTCTGATTTTTTTTCTTATCTCTAACATGAGCTAACCACATGGGCCTGTTAAATCAAGGATCACATAGGAATCCTATTCCTTCTAGCCCAAGGTAAGGGCTTGTGCTGTATATAAAGGCGTGTACCCATTATCAAATTCTATACAATTCCTACTCTCACAATTACACACACTTGCAGAAACCCTCACTAGCGCTGAAGAAGTCCAGGTTTGATTGCTAGCCAGCCATGTCTTGGACAGGTTGGTTTTGGGTTCAATATTTATACGCGTTTTGGGTTCAATATTCATACGCTCTCATCACAAGACCAAGGAATAATAAGAATGACACTCGAGTGTCAGATCAATGGGCAAGTCTTCCCATTCTTTTTTTAATTCTGGATAACTTGCGGGAACGCACTGACCATATTCGGGTTGCTGCCGTTTGCAAGCAATGGCGTGTTGCTGCAAAAGAATACAATCGCGTAAGGCAGCGTTGGCAGCGTGAGCTTCTTCCTATGCTCCTGGTTCCAACCGCAACAGGATCCAAAGGAAAGCTAAAACTGTACAGCTTTCCTGGAGGAGAAACCTCCGACATTGAGTTATCGGTACCCTGTAATATGATTAGTATGTGCCATGGCCATGGTTGGTTAGCCACAATGGATGTATTGGAAAAACAAATGATAGTCCCCAAATCGAAATTTTTTTGGAACCAACAACTAGAACTGCGCAAACAAGAACTATGGACTATAACTCTGGTGAACCCTTTCAGAAAAGCAGCGGCACCCATTCGTCTCCCTCACTTAGATTTCTGTTACCGCCGCCACACGTCTGAGAGTCAATGTTTGGATGTGCTCCGAAAGTACTTTAAGGGGATTAAACCGAAGGGCATCCCGAAGGTTATCTTATCTGAGGATCCCACATTGAATCCAGACAGTTACATGGTTGTAGCACTTTACAGAGATCAATCTAGGTTGGCTTTCAACAAAGGAGGAAGAAAATATTGGACTCAATTTTGCACACAGTGCCAGTGTATTATGGATGTTATATTTCATAAAAGTCTAGTCTTTGCAGTTTTAGAGCGCGGAAACATTATTTCCCTTGATATCAATAGGTGGTCAATGAAAACAAAGTATTTTAACCTGGGAGAACTTCCGTTCGAAAGTTCGGCTGATGAAGCTTATCTCGTGGAATCAACCAAGGGAGACTTGTTGCACGTTCGAAGATTGCCGAAAGATGATCATGGTGATTGTGGAGAGAGATTCATGGTTTACAAGTTGGTGTTCAATGAGAGGGGTGGATCCGTGCAGCAAGTTGAAATGAAAAGTATTGGAGATGAGGTTATGTTCCTGAGTGAAAATGGTAGTATCTCGGTTTTGGCTTCAAACTTCCCTCAGTGCCAACCCAATTCCATATATTACATGGATTTTCGTTGGCCGACTGAAATAAGCAATTTCAATTTAGAGGATGAAACCATTACACGATATCGTTACTCTTCGGACATCTCACCAGCGCTTTGGATTGTGGACATGTTTAATGGGCTCTGCTAGCAGCGTGTTCTGGTTCATCTAATTACATTTTGTTTCTGCACTTACAGAATTTTCTTTTTCCTCGCATTTTGATTGCCTCATTTGAAATATACGTACTGTGCCTATTTATATAGTGATCGAATAAAGCCGTACTGGTATGTAGAATTGTCTACAGGCTATATATGAACAAGAATTGATCCTTATGTATTATATTATGATGATATCGTTTTGATGTTATTGGTTTCTGTGATGACATTATTTTTAGCAGGTGTAACTAGTATCAATGTTTCTCTATAAACGCCTTCATTTTGTTTGATTTTAACCACTCTCTTTCATGAATAAAGTTGAAATTCTGTGCCACTAAACCAAACATTAACTAACATCATTTTCTTTTGTTATTATTCGATCGATAAGTGTTTTCATCTCTTTTATTCAATTGAAAAGTGTTATTGATGAAAAGAGGAATGAATATTTTCTACTTTTGTTTAAATCTCCAGTTAAGATGTGTTAGCTAAATTGAAAGAAATGGAGTGAAATTTAATCTGCCCCAATTCGAGCAAAGGTGGAAAACAAAAATTGCCATTGAATTGGCTGAGGTCAGTCCGCTGCCCATAGTTTCCTTACTCTACTTATGCATGACCAACGAAATTTATCACAAGAAACATTCGCTAGATCAATCTTTTACTTTCGGGAGGCGGAATGTCATAGCATTTACCTTAAAATTAATTATACTTTCTTTTGTAATCATCCTAATGTTTGCTATTTCTTTTGCTTTTTTTTCTTTTTGAGTAAGCGATTGCGGATGAGGTTTTACACACAAATATTAATTGGGTGTCTCGGGTTTTTGAACATCTACCTACATGACATAGGTAGATGTGGTGGAAGAGCTCAACCAACTAAGCTATACCCGGCAATAGGTCAACAAATGTTAAATACATCATAAAGGGAAATTATATTCCAATTATTGGGGCATTCATGGTATTGATTGAGTGCACCCAAGGGGACCCTTGCCAATACTACAATGTGCGCCCAAGGAAAATAACAATTATAGTAAAAAGTTAAATATTTTTGGATTGAAAGAGGAAGCAGAACAAAGCTTCCCATTACTACTTGGATTATTTTGTTTTGGTGTGATTAATATCAAACGTTTGTATTGCAATGGGAATGTTTTTTTTTCGGCCTTTTACAAGTCAAAATATGGAGGGCAAACATATAGAATAAGAAAAATGTTTGAGGAAGATTTCAAAAACCTAAAAACAGAAACAGACTCCATGAATCAAAGAAGACGAGTCGGTCTTTCTATGTTCTGATTTTCTTTTTCTTTTCTCTAACATGAGTTAACCACGTATGGGCCTGTTAAATCAAGAATCACATGCCAACAAATTAGGAAAGAAGACACGGATGGCACGGACATTTTGGGTATTGACTTGGTAGCTTTCCTTGATCATATAGGAATCCTATTCCTTCTAGCCTAGGGCTTGTGCTGTATATAAAGGCGTGTGTACCCGTTATCAAATTCTATACAATTCCTACCCTCACAATTATACACACACTTGCAGAAACCCTCACTAGCGCTGAAGAAGTCCAGGTTTGATTGCTAGCCAGCCATGTCTTGGACAGGTTGGTTTTGGGTTCAATATTTTATTCGCTCTCATCACAAGACTAAGGAATAATAAGAATGACACTCGAGTGTCAGATCAATGGGCAAGTCTTCCTATTCTTTTTTTAATTCTGGATAACTTGCGGGAACCCACTGACCATATTCGGGTTGCTGCCGTTTGCAAGCAATGGCGTGTTGCTGCAAAAGAATACAATCGCGTGAGGCAGCGTTGGCAGCGTGAGCTTCTTCCTATGCTCCTGGTTCCAACCGCAACAGGATCCAAAGGAAAGCTAGAACTGTACAGCTTTCCTGGAGGAGAAACCTCCGACATTGAGTTATCGGTGCCCTGTAATATGATTAGTATGTGCCATGGCCATGGTTGGTTAGCCACAATGGATGTATTGGAAAAAGAACTGGTAGTCCGTAAGAACCAACAACTAGAACTGCGCAAACAAGAACGATGGACTATAACTCTGGTGAACCCTTTCAGAAAAGCAGCGGCGCCCATTCGTCTCCCTCGCTTGGATTTCTGTTACCGCCACACGGGTGTGAGTCAATATTTGGATGAGCTCCGAAAGTACTCTAAGGGGATTGTACCGAAGGGCTTCCCGAAGGTTATCTTATCTGAGGATCCCACATTGAATCCAGACAGTTACATGGTTGTAGCACTTTACAGACATCTTTCTGGGTTGGCTTTCATCAAAGGAGGAAGAAAATATTGGATTCAATTATCCAGAGAGTGCGAGGGTGTTATGGATGCTATATTTCATAAAAGTCAAGTCTTCGCAGTTTTAGAGTGCGGAACAATTCTTTCCCTTGATATCAATAGGAGGTCAATGAAAACAAAGTATTTTAACCAGAGAAAACGTTCATTCTCAGGTTCGGCTGATGAAGCTTATCTCGTGGAATCAACCAAGGGAGACTTGTTGCACGTTCGAAGATTGCCGAAAGATGATCATGGTGATCGTGGTGAGAGATTCACGGTTTACAAGTTGGTGTTCAATGAGACGGGTGGATCCGTGCAGCAAGTTGAAATGAAAAGTATTGGAGATGAGGTTATGTTCCTGGGTGAAGATTGTAGTATCTCGATTTTGGCTTCAAACTTTCCTCAGTGCCAACCCAATTCCATATATTACATGGATTTTCGTAGACCGACTGAAATAAACAATTTCAATTTAGAGGATGAAACCATTACACGACATCGTTACTCTTCGGACATCTCATCAGCGCTTTGGATTGTGCACATGTTTAATGGGCTCTGCTAGCAGCTTGTTCTAGTTCATCTAATTAAATTTTGTTTCTGCACTTATAACTCATAGAATTTTCTTTTTCACTCGCATTTTGATTGCCTCATTTGAAATATACGTACCGTGCCTATTTATATAGTGATTGCTCGATGTTTATCAATGGTCAAGTTAGAAGCTTAGGTAAGTTCAGGAAAGAATCTGGGTCCCCTGCATTTATCATCAACTCTCCTTTCTATTTTGACATCTTTGGCCTCCGTCTTCTAGAGGCTTTGCTTTGTAATAATTTCTATTCTCTGCATCAACAAAACAAAACTCTCATTTTCCTTTTGTATTCTTAATTGAAATTTGAAAAAGAGATAACAGGGCCTAGCCAAGAGAAAATATCTTTGACTTGCTGATCATGTGGTCTCAGTGTGTAGAAAACCTTCCTCTCCCATCTTTTATAAAAAATAAAAAAAAATTGAAATAAAGAACCAGCCCAATAATGTTATCAAACATGTTCTTACCAATCTAATATTTAGAGTTTTTTTTTTTTTATATATACAAATGATATTCTACTTTAATTTAATCTAAACTATATGGAGGGGATTCGAACTCAAGTGCAAAGTGGGGAGCACAATCGCTCTAGCCAACTTGGTTAAGCCAAACTAGATGAATAGTTTTTTATTTATATATTTTAAAAATGCAGGCATTCAACAAACGGAGTGGAGATTAATGTCATTAAACCAAATGGTGATCTATAATTAGAGTTGGCTTAAATGCAAAAATGATCCCTGTGTTTTACTATGTTGGTTAATTTAGTCCCGGTGTTTTCAATTTGGCCAATTCGGTCCCTGTGTTTAGGACTGTTAGCCAATACTGTCCATTCCGTTAAATTTGTTGTTAAATACACACAATAAACATTTTCGTGTCTTTTAAAAACCTATAAAACTTTTTAAAATTAATCTAAAAATATTAAAAATTCATTAAAAGTAAATCATAACATGAGAAAAGAAGAAACTTGAAGAAAAAAAATGTTGTCTGGGAGGGGATGGTTTGCCCAGCGAATGGAGAGGTGGGAAGGAGAGTGATGAGCGGAGGGGCAAGACCAAGAGGGAGAGAAACAAACGAAACCAAAAACTAATACAAGGATATCCCCACAGGGCACTACCTACTGAAACATTCGGAAACGTGAAGTTAAGGATTGTGAGAGAGAGAGAGAGTGAGGTTGATCGGAGTTGGGGTGGAGGGTTATTATTGGGAGAAAGAGAGAAGAGAGAAGGGTGGTGAATTGTGGCTGGGATTGGAGATGGTGGCTGGTGGGTGGGATTGAAGGTGGTGGTGGCGGTTGGGATTAGAGTTGGCGTCTTTCTGTTTTTGATTTTTAGTGTTGCTCTTATTTATTTAACTTTAAATTGTATTCAAATAGTTATTTTTTAAAATTAATATTTAAAAGTTTCTTATTTTTTCAACAAAAATTTAACGGAATGGATAACATTGGCTAACAATTCTAAACACAGGGACCGAATTGGCCAAATTTAAAACACAGAGACTAAATTGGCCAACGTAATAAAACACAAGGACCATTTTTGCATTTAAGCCATTAGAGTTTAATCATCACATTAGAAATAAAATTCTTCAACAACATTCAAAGTGTGTTAATCACATCAAGTAGTTAACATGAATTATACTTTTGGTCCGTATAGTTTTGCTAATTTTAACTTAGACACGT